CAAACAGCTCTTGTTTATTCACAGGCCAGAACAGAACTGAACTGAAGGGTTCCTCCAGTACAAGGTAACTGTAACAATTTTCTAAAACTATCCAATCACTGAACGTCACTTTCGATCCCTTATTTGCATAACTATCTACAGTATCCCCCTGCTGGCCCAGGGTGAGAACTTCAGTACATAACACCTAGCCCCTTGCCGGGGATCCGGACAAAAACATGGCAAACCCCTGGATTCCTTTAATGGAATTCCCTTGCAGCAGGCCCTCTGCCCCAGCCAACCCTTACCAACCAAATTTTAACCAATGCCTAACCGCAACCTTACAAGTTGTGACGATTTGCTACGCAGTAGGCAAAAACCAAATGGCACCAGCCAATCTGCCAAATGGACAAAATTCCTACCAGGCCCCTGCCCCCAAAGCAGGCAACCCCATGACAGGCATAGCAATGTCAAACGCAACAGCCCTAAATTAGGGAGGGTGGGCAAGCGATCTGATGCACGCAGCAAAAGAGACTGAAGAAAGCTGTGTGCCAAGAATATATAACCTTCGGGCCAACCCTCTAAATGGTAACAGCAAAATCTCCCCAACAACCCAAATTGGCCCAATCACAATCATGGCCATCCAAACGGTCCTGCCCAGTAACCAAGAGGGGGGTATCCTGTTAGACCCCACCGCAACACGTGCTCTTCATGAAGAACACGCTTTGTATGATCACTGACTAGTGCTGACAGCGAGCTCCCTTGGCTGTGGTAGGGAACTTCCACTTGGGGAATTCCTGAGTGCAGTCAATTCCAGTGAGGCTGATTGGTGCTATTGCAAAGTGCTGCTTACAAAGGAACCAGACAGGCCAAATTTGTGGGCCAAATTGGTACTCTTGTTGGGACTAATTAGGCTCACCAGTTAGAGGTTCCTTACCCCTGCAGTATATATTTACAAGGGGGGTAAAAGTGATTTATCCTTTGAAATTGGTGCAGGACACAGAATTGCAGCGAGTATAAAATAAAGGAAGGGGGAATTAGCAGCAGAACAAATATAAATTTGCATTATGTGGACCACATCTTTAAAGTATGGCATGAGAAACAACACTGTACATATGAGCAGGAAAGCTCCAAAACCACAAGGTGGTGTTCTCAATGTTCTGTGGCAAGCTGGTCCATCAATCTGAAAAGTTCTTAAATCAGAAGCAGAATTCGAGCGAGTACCGGCAGTGGATTCAGTTCTGTTTCCCCACTGAAAAGTCACAGCAGGTAACCACAGGAAATCTGTTGTGCATCTCTCTCCATAGCTACAATTTTACAGCTTGAACAATGAAGACTGAAGAGACCTGTGTTCTGGAAAGCTGAATTTGTGTGTGTGAGAGATAAACAGTATAAGCTAAACAAGCTATAGCTTAGGGCCCCGCTCACTTGGGGGGGCCCAAAAGATTTAAAGGGGGGGGGGGAAACTGGATGTACATTTCCAAAATAGAAGATTAAAAAAAAAAAACAACCTACATACAGCAACAGTGTTTTGTGTTGTGTAGGCTCCTATGATGTAGCCTGCTCCCTAAAATATCACTAGTTTGCTCATTTCTATATATAGGGTGCTTACATTCTGCATGGACTGGTGGCATGGCAACATGTGCAAATGGCTTTAGATACCAATTAGGTCCATAAATTCCATCTAGCATATATTCAACACAAAAACCAGCGACAATTTGTTGTTGACAAAGGACAGCTGGACATATAAAGGGCCCCATTACCTTCAGTAGCTTAGGGCCTCTTCAAACCTAAATCCAGCCCTGAGCATGGGCCAGCTACAGCGTCTCTTGCCTTCAGGCTGTCAACAGTTGCAAAACTCTTTCTCTGGTAACTCCCATGGAGGTAACACAGTTTATCAGATCTTTATATAATTGATTTAATGCGTCATTCCCCAATACAGGTACCTTATACAGGGTATAAAATCGGGAGCTGCTCCCTGTACAGCCTGCTGCAACACCAATGGGAGGTGCTTAAAGTAAAGGTAAAGGGACTCCGCCAACCTTCTGATCGGCAAGTCCTAGGCTCTGTGGTTTAACCCACAGCGCCACCCACGTCCCCATGAGAGGGGCTTACTTTGAACCAAATAATAAAGACCTGTTGTACCCTCAAGAAAAAATACTCAAGAGAATCTCTAAAGATCAGCTTGTAAACAGACACATGCGAGGACCGATGATACATTCCCAAACCCTGTGATAATAATTCTAGCAAAAGAACATATAGGTGACCATTTCCACCACAGTCAAATTATAGGGGCAACCAGTGTTTTTTTCTGGGTGTACGCAGGGGGTACGCATACCCCTAAACATTTTTGTGAATCTTTGTACTTTTGTCCATTTACTGTATTTATTTTTTCCGATTTGAGCTATAAAATGGTGCTTTCTTGAGTCAAAATGAGAGTACCCTTAAACATTTTTAAAGAAAAAAAAAAGCTATGAGAGCAACATCTGAAGGAACTCCAGCAGCAAATCTACAACCTAGAAGGTTTGAAGTTAAACTATTAAAATGGGCCAATATAATGGCTTCTCTGTATTTAAAAAGGTAAAGGGACCCCTGACCATTAGGTCCAGTCGTGACCGACTCTGGGGTTGCGGCGCTCATCTCGCTTTATTGGCTGAGGGAGCCGGCGTACAGCTTCCGGGTCATGTGGCCAGCATGACTAAGCCGCTTCTGGCGAACCAGAGCAGCGCACAGAAACGCCGTTTACCTTCCCGCCAGAGCGGTACCTATTTATCTACTTGCACTTTGACGTGCTTTCGAACTGCTAGGTTGGCAGGAGCAGGGACCGAGCAACGGGAGCTCACCCCATCGCGGGGATTCGAACCGCCGACTTTCTGATCGGCAAGTCCTAGGCTCTGTGGTTTAACCCACAGCACCACCCACGTCCCACTTCTCTGTATTTAGGTACGGATTAAAAAACATTAAGACATATATTCAAGAGTAGACCCAAGCCACGCCCTGTGACTGCCAAATATGACCCATTGGTTAATGTACTTAGCTTCTGCAAATCCCTTGTTTTAATTTTCTCTTTAGCTATACAGTGGTACCTCGGGTTAAGTACTTAATTTGTTCCAGAGGTCCGTTCTTAACCTGAAGCACCACTTTAGCTAATGGGGCCTCCTGCTGCTGCCACGCCGCCGGAGCACGATTTCTGTTCTCATCCTGAAGCAAAGTTCTTAACCCGAGGTACCATTTCTGGGTTAGCGGAGTCTGTAACCTGAAGTGTGTGTAACCTGAAGCGTATGTAACCCAAGGTACCACTGTACATTTAGCTTGCATCAAATCCACCGACACAAACAAAAGGGAAAGGAAGCAAGGCATTTCTCCCTGTTAACTCTTTTACATGTAGACACTTAAGAGCCTTCCAACTCCCAGTGACTTGGAGGCGGCAGGAGAATAAATTCAGAGCCAATAATTAAGATATATCTGGGCCAAATAAACTTATATATGGATAAACTTATTTATATGTATACACTTATTTAGGCAGATAAATAGAACCACCCTCTGTACCCGGCTCAGACCTGCCCTTGTGGTGATAGTTTCAAAAAAATATTGGAAAGGATTCAGGTATTCCACCTTACCTCCTCCTTCCAAGTCCCTATAGCACTGTTCTCCTTGCTATCACTGAAACACAGAGCTAAACACTTGGTTTCATATCCAATCTCTTAGCAGTTATCATAATTCCGTTTTGCTGTCTTTGCATTTCATGTCAGATCTCATGAGAAATACCACCACAAGTGACCTGGACAGAACAAGCCGGCATTGCCTTTTATAGGCTAAAGTCGTCATTCCTTTCTTTTTTTAAATTATACTTTTTCTTAAATTTCTGTTTTACATTTTAGAATATTCACTTAAACACCCTTAAAATATCAGTGACTTCCCTTCCTCTCTTTCCATGGTTCAGTTTGCACAACATAAATCCCTGCATATTTTGTATAGACCATTTGGTAGTCCATTATAACATCCATCAAGACTTATTTACACTGTTGAAGTTATCTTAATGCTGCCCACATTTTCAAATACACAGTTTTCTTCCACATATTCAATAAACATTTGCCATTCTTCTTTAAACGTATGTTCTTCTTGTTCTCTAATTCTATATGTTTGATCCATAAACTGCGCATATTCCATCAGTTTCAGTTGCCATTCTTCTTTAGTTGGGACTTCGTTCATTTTCCAGAAGTCTTGTCATTCTTAAGATCCCATTTTTAAAATGCCAGGCTTTTCTCAACCCTTTATCCTTCAGACGGAGGCCTCTGGTAGAAGCCTTCAGGTGCCATCCTCACAGAAGATTGCGAGGGACCAGAACACCCCCTTCTATATTTAAGTCACCAATTACTTCCCTGTGAACAAAAACTTCCCACCATAAAATGAGAGGCCCTAGCCATAAATTGGGGCTTTCGTTCCCTGCATTATTCTCCATTTAGTTGCTGACCACACCCCTCCTTCAAGGGAGGAAAGATGCAAACCCCCACATTACTTGGTGGTATTTGTCATTGCAGCTCTATACTTTACTATTGCCCATCAGAAAGGCTCACAACCAGCCCACTCCACTTGTCAAGGATCTTGGGATGACACTTTCCTGGCAGAGAACCAACACGGCCTGATGTCCCTCTTGTGTGAAGTGGTACCTTGCCACCAGATGAGCAGGCTGCCCCAATGTTGTCTCTGCTGAAGTTCCCTTGAGCCGGATGCGAGTTTGGCTGCTGCCCAACAGCAGGGGAGCCGGTTGTTTGACTGGCTGCTACGCCAACCCAGGAACTAGGAAGGAACCCAGCTACTGCTCAGTACTGAAGAAGGGGCAGGGTTGCCAAAAAGCACAGCTGAATGCAAACAGTGGTCGGTGCTGCAGAAAGGAAGCAGAGTTAAAGGAAGCAGTAGAGGACAGGTCTAAGGCACGCGGGTGGCACTGTGGTCTAAACCACTGAGCCTCTTGGGATTGCCGATCGGAAGGTTGGCAGTTCAAATCCCTGTGACAGAGTGAGCCCCTGTTGCTCTGTCCCAGCTCCTGCCAACCTAGCAGTTCAAAAGCAAGCCAGTGCAAGTAGATAAATAGGTACCATTGCGGCAGGAAGTTAAATGGCGTTTTCATGTGCTCTGGCTTCCATCAAGATGTTCTCTCTCTCTCTCTCTCTTTTTAAAAATATATTTTTATTGGTTTTAAAATACAAAATTACAAAACATACCACACAATTTATCACAAATACATTCTTATTGGACTTCCATCAGCACCTCTGATAATCCTCCGTCTTATTCACTTCTTACGCATTTCCTAACTTAATATTGCCTTTACTTTCTTAACATATCCCATCTCCTTCTTCATTTTTGCAATATTTCTAATATTATCCCTCACAAAGCTTCTTGCAAACTTACAAACGTCGTTTGGTCATTGCAAATACTTTTCAAATAATCCGTAAATTTACTCCAGTCCTCGGTAAACTTCTGGTCCCGCCGGTTTCAGATCCTTCCCATTAGTTTATCAAGTTCCGCATAGTCCATTAATTTCATCCTCCATTCTTCCATCGTTGGTAATTCTTGGTTCCATTTTTGGGCCAATAGTATTCTTGCCATCATGATGTTCTCTCGCGCCAGAAGCCGTTTAGTGATGCTAGGCACATGAGCCGGAAAGCTGTCTGTGGACAAACGGCGGCTCCCTTGGCCTGAAAGCGAGATGAGCGCCACAACCCCATAGTCATTTTTTACTGGATGTAACCGTCCGGGGTCCTTTACATTTATTTATTTTAAAGGACAGCCACCCACCCAAGCAGAATGGGGAGAAACCGAGAAGGAAGGGAATAAGAGAGTCACTGAGCCAGGAGCAGACGAGGCAGGCTTGGGTGAAAGGGAACCCAACATAAAATGCAAGAGTAAGGATGGAAAGATTAGAAAGAAGCAAACAGGGCTTAAGCTACCCTGCTTAGGACCACAAGCAAGGCACTCACCTGTTGCTGGAATTGTAGGAGACTCCTCCCCATCTTGAGTACATAGGAGGCAGATGGGATACCTACAGAGCCTGTGCAGAAAAGGGACGATGACTGGATGCAACACCCCCCAGGCAGTTAGTCCAACTTCCCATATGGACAACATCCTCTGCAACACTTACGGGAAACTGGATTAACTGCATGTGTTGTGGTAGATGGCCCCTTTTCTGCACAGGCTTTGTCCATGATGGTCACTGAATGCTTCGATGTGCCTCTGCTTGCTGACCACTTTGCAATAGCCAACATCTAACGCAAGCATAGGCAAACTTGGCCCTCCTGATTTTTTTGAGACTACAATTCCCATCATCCCTGACCACTGGTCCTGTAAGCTAGGGATGATGGGATTTGTAGTCCCAAAAACATCTGGAAGGCCAAGTTTGCCTGTGCCTGATATAATGAATTGTCCAATGATGGATTTAAAGTGGTAATTCTACAAGTCATGCAACTGGTTCTAAAGCAGGAAATACGCTTGATGAGCTTTCTTGCCAACTTAAATTGCAACCTTCGCTGCCCCAATCTTGGTTTGAAGAAGAGCAGGGAAGGGAGTTCTGTTGTCCTCCCGATAGACTGCAGCCATCATCACTGACCCATTGGTCATGCTAAAATTGTAGAGTTGGGAGGGAGGGACCGGGAGGGTCATATAGTCCAAACCGTGCAATACAGGAATCTTTTGCCCAAGGTGGGGCTTGAACTGACAACCCTCAGATTAAGAATCTCATGCTCTACCGGCTGAGCTATCCACAGGGCTAATGGAAGTTGGAGTCCAACAACATCTGGGTGGCCCCCAACTTCCGCATCCCAATGTACAGATGTAAACACTCCCTTAAAAAAGCCACTGGACCTTTAAGGTGAAATAAATCAGATTAGCAAAGTGGGGTTTTTTTGGGCCAGCAAAGTGTGTAGATGACCTTTTAAGACTGATAAAAAGAGAATTGGGTTAATAAATTTTGGGAAGATTTCCGGCAAGCTGTCATCACTCCGCAGGTGGCAAAATTTGTTAAGGCCGCTGTCGCTCCTCTCAGACTTTGCCAGCACGTAGCTTGTCACTCTCTTTAATCTGCTTTACTTGAGGCTGTGATTTTTGCATTTCGTGTTAATGGCCCGTTGGCAGTAATAAACGAACCGCTACTTACTCCCGTAATTGTAATTGCACACGTTGACAACTGATTCGGGCATCTTCCTCAAACGAGGCTCCTGCTAATAATGAAAGGTTAGAAAGCGGGGGAGGCCACTTCTTGCGAGCACTTTCACCTTTCAACGCTACTCACTGCTCTCGGCTTTAAGAGTTTCACTTCTGCCATAAAGGAAAGGGCACTTGACCTGCGGCCTCGCTTTATGGGCTCCCCATTTGCGGGAGGAGGAACCACACCTTCCAATGGCCTCCCCAAGAGAGAGGGCGCGCTCTGCTCCCCACCCCGCTGCCATCAAGGCGCATTAAATGCATACTCCGGCGCCGAGGCATTAAAGGGGATTTCCCCGCTTGCACATAATGCACCCCCCCAGCCAATAGCAAAACGATCTTTCCTTTCGCTCCGCGCCCCAACTGCCTCTTTCCTGTGCAGCCTCGCCGAGCGCGAACGGAGCTGCCCGGAACTTCCCGACAGGCTGCCGCTCCCCTCCCTCCCTCCCTCCCTCCCTCCTGCCCCGCTCCGAGGCTGCTTTCTCTCTTCCCCCAGCCAACCCCCGGCTTCCCTGGGCGGGGAATCGCCTCTCTTCCTTCCTTCGCTGTCCCCACCCACCTTTGCAATGGCAAGCAAGATGGAGGAGCGGGGCGGCTTCGGCGCCCTCCCAGGGCGCTGTTGTTAAAAAAGCGCAGCTGCTCCCCAAAGGCTGCAGCGCCCTTGCTCCCCCCCGCAGCGCGCCCCGCTGCCCCCCTCTTCCCGGATTGCATCCCTCCCTCCCCACCCTCTCCCCCCATGCGCCCTCCCTCCCCTCCTTCCTGCAATTGTCTTTGCTTCTCCTCCCCCCTATCCTGCATGCACCCATTGCTTATGCACGCGCTCTCTGGAGAGGCTCTGCCAGAGCTCTGATCCCTCCACGCGCGCGCGCGCGCCTCCATCTATTATTGCGATCCTTTGGCTGCCGCCGGTGCAACCGGATCGATCCATCCACCCATCCAGCTGCCCCTTTCTTTTCTCCCCCCCCCAATTTCCCCCCCCTCCTCTCCCCCTCCCTCCTTGCGCCATCGTCATTGCCAGCGCCGCCGCCGCGTTTCTTGGATGGATTTCTTCTTCCTGGGTGTTTTTGCTTGGAAGGTGAAGCCGGAGACCCGGGCCCCCCCGAGGTTTTAGATCTCCTCTTCTTCCTCCTCGACCCCCCAGCTCCTGTCAGCGATCCAGGCCGAGAAGGGAGCGAGGAGCCCGGTCAGCGTGGCGGTGGCAGCGCGCTCGGGTCCGGAGGAGCCACCGACCGCGTCTCGCAGCCATGAGCGGCTCCACCGCCGCCTCCTCCACCAGCGGCAACGCGGCCGGCGAAGGGGCGGAGGACGCCGCCAAGGATTCCGCGGACATCGCGGCTTTCTTCCGATCGGGTGAGCGCTCCGCTTGGCCGGAGGGGAAAGGCGGTCTGGCGTTGGGGAGGAGAGGGTTGGCCTTTCCGAGGAGTTTGGAGAAGGAAGCGAGGGGGAAATCTCGGTCGTTCCGATTTGATTTCCCCGGTCCGGTGGTTTTGTGCGCTTTGGAGTGTCGCTGCTTTCCGTGCCCAAGAGCTAAAAAAAAATAAGGGGGGGGGGGAGGTATCAATCCTTGCCTCGGCAAGCCTCATATTTTTGCAGGATTTCTATGGCCGGGCGTTGGAAAAGGCCAAGTGTTCCCGGACCAGCCATATGTATCGCTGTATGCGTTTTACAGGCTCTCTTTAATATCTGGTCGATGGATCTGGCTGTCAACTCCAAAGCCCCGATATAGATTCTCTTTTAGCCAGTCGGGGTACCTTATCGCGCCCCATTCTTCAGAGCCGCCTCACCTCCTTTAAAGACTAGATTTCCCCTCCTTGATAAAGTCAATAGACTACAGAAGGCCAAGACTATCTGTGGACTGTAGCATGTGTCTGGGTGTCATAATCCACAGCCTTTGTCACTGTTTCTAGACAGCTGCTGTAACCAAGGAATGGCAACCCAGCCGCATCCCCATCTTTCCCTTCCTCCATGGGGGGGGGAGGGGGAACGAGCATTTGTTTTTTTGTCTAGCTTTTGGCTCCAGCTCTGGGTGTGTGTTTATTTCTATTAAAATGAAAAGCTTCTCTCTCCATCTCTACCTGCCTGCCTTTGCGGTTCAAATGCAAGTCTTGGAAGAGCAGGGTGTAAATAATCTACAGAGAGGCTAAGATAGAGTTGGCTTTGTTTGTTTTTTTCTTTTCCGGGGAGCGAGCGTTTTTATTTTTATTTTTAATACAAATCTGGCCTAAGGAGTGGACAGTTGATTGTCTTTGTGCATTGATTTTGGTAGATGGTCGGATTTCGGGGGGGGGGGGGCTGTTGGCAGAGGAAGACATGCATCTTGCATAGTTAAGCTGTAAGGGAAATACTTTGACACAAGGCAGGTGCTGGGAGCCTCTCCTTACATGGTCACTCCAGCTGTTGCCCAAACCTCCTTGTATCCTGTTACCCTAGGGTGGTAAAACTTTTATTATTATTATTCTCGTTATTGAGTGCTTGAGATGGGGTAACGGCTGCAGCTGGGGAACAGAATGGATAAGGTGCAGAAGGCAGGCGATTCCTCCAAAACAGACCTGTTCCAGAAACCCTACAAGTGCAGAAAGGTAACCTGTACATTAATGATGCCTGCCAGTGGCGTAGCGTGGGGGGTGCAGGGGGGGCCGGCCGCACCGGCCGCACCATCTGGGGGGGTGTGCTCGCACTCGCAGCTCTCTGCCCCTACTAAAATCCACGGGTTAGGGGGCGCAAATTACTTGCCTTGCCCCGGCTGCTGACAACCCACGCTACGCCACTGATGCCTGCCATGTGTGTGAAACTGCCATGTTGCAAGGCTCCCAGTGAATCCATTGCTTATGGCCACAGGGACTGTGGATTTGTATAAGACAGTAAGGGGTGGGAAAGGAGTAGTTAGCTGGGCCTGTATGTTTCTGGGCTTGCAGCTGAACTGAAAAACCGCTTTCTCCCCTTAGAAAATGGGGTGAGGGAAAGGGTGGTTGTTGGGTCATATATGCAAGTCACAGACATCCCTTTGCTTCTGGAGCAAACGTACCCGGTTATGACAAATCCAAGCAAAAGCAAGGAGGCTCTGTGAATTCAGGTGGGGAGGGATATCTCTGGAAGGAGGGAGGGAAAAGGCATGGGGTTGTCCCAACCAATGCCTGCCTGCTGTTGGGAGGGCAGGGGGAGGAGGCTGAAGGGGAAGCCCAGCAGAAAGGCCCCCTGTAACGGCTTGCCTGTCAGACTCTGAACACCGCTTTAGACAGAAGCTCTCGCTTTGGATTTTCCTCCCTCCTGCCAGAATTTGTTTGGTTCCTCCTCCTCCTCCTCCTCCTCTGTTGCTGATATGCTGCTCATCGCCATCCTTCCAAGGAGGTGGGGAGAGGGGGGGAAGATAGGGCAGCGGGCTTCTTCGCTTGCTTCATCTGGATGCCTTTAAAAGGACCGAGCCTAGGAAGTGGGGATAGGTTGGGGGGGGGGGGGAGAAAGATAAGAAATGCAGACTCATCTCTGGAGAACCGAAGGGGCGTCTGAGTTAGGTAGGTATTTTGCCTCTATTAGTGAAGGAGTAAACCATGATTGCATGGAATAAGTGTTCGTTTGCTAGCGTTTGCCCTGTTTGACGGAGAACTGGGGCAGTGGCGGGGGGGCAGGCGGAGGCATATGGAGAAGGGAAGGATGAAAACTGTCAGTCGTTGGGTCTCCTCTTTATTCTCCTCCTCCCCACTCCCCGAGTTGGTTATAGTCAGGGAACTTGTATACAAGGGTGATCACAAGCTTCTCGGCTCACAGCCCCTTAATCTGGGCCAGATATGATCCTTGAGGGTGGTGGCTGTGTGGACAGGTGGCTGGTTTTCTCCTGAGCTCTGTTGTTGTTGTGTGAAATGGGCTCCCAGGATAGACTGCATGGATCATGTTCCTCAGGAACCCATAATCTCTGTTGGACATCACTGCCGTGGTTAGATTGTCTCGCAGCGCTGAGTTGCAGGGAGACCCATTCATTCTGCCTGGCTTCAAGGGTGAGTGTTTTGCTTTCCTGGGCATTTCTGGCGTCGTGGGAATTGGGTGAGTTGCTGCCTAGGTACACTAACCAGACCGATTGAGGTTGCTTTTCTCTACGTTTGATCTGTGCTGCGTGACAAAGATGTTCTGGTGTGTGCCCGTTGCGAGACATAAGTGAATTTTTTACTGTTGAAAAGACTTTCTGCACTGGGGTTATGTCAGAGCGTTCTGGCTTCTCTTCAAGACAGGCTTTCAAATTCATCAGCAAAATTTAGTGGCCTTCATACCTGTCTATAGATGCTTGTTTGGGGCTGCAATCCTGTATCCACTGTCCTGGGGATAAGACTGTTGAATTCAGCAGGATTTGAAACCTGACAAAGGCAACATATGATTTCCCTGCCCTGGGCTACCTTGAGTTGATTTTTCTTGCCTCAGAGAAGTGACTACAGTATTTGCAAACCTTGTTCAGAATGTGTTATGCCATAGTGGTTCTGCTTCAGGTTTTATCTAATTTCTGATTCACCTGTATTGCTACCCACTTTGAGCCACTCTGCAGTGAAAGCATCCCTGAGAATATTGGTAGTGAGAAGACTGGGAGAATTGGAAAGGCTGTTAAACAATAAACTAATAAGCTAATCATTGACAAATCCTTCTCTTTAGAATCCACTTAGATCAGGCATGCGGAGACACACACTGACTTGGGCTGTGTGTTAGATTTAATCCCACCTAAATCATGTTTTGGGACGCGGGTGGCGCTGTGGGTTAAACCAGACAGCCTAGGACATGCCTATCAGAAGGTCGGCGGTTCGAATTCCTGCAATGGGGTGAGCTCCCGTTGCTCAGTCCCTTCTCCTGCCAACATAGCAGTTCGAAAGCATGTCAAAGTGCAAGTAGATAAATAGGTACCGCTCCGGCAGGAAGGTAAACAGCATTTCCGTGCGCTGCTCTGGTTCGCCAAAAGCGGCTTAGTCATGCTGGCCACATGACCCGGAAGCTGTACGCCGGCTCCCTTGGCCAATAAAGCGAGATGAGCACTGCAACCCCAGAGTCTGTCACGACTGGACCTAATGGTCAGGGGTCCCTTTATCTTACCTAAATCATGTTTTAATTTTTTTTGGTAAAAGACCTGATTTGGCTTTCTTTGTGTCGATTAGCCATTGACTTTGGGAAATTGGGAAAGGCATTCAAATAAATACATGTCTCTGTAGGAAAGTCCTGGTGTTATGGGGTGGAAAGTGCAGCAATAGGAGACAAAAAAAGGGGGGGACTGGGAAGAACAGGGATGGGTGGATGGAATACCATTATGGCGTTTCAAGCATGCAAGTAGGAGTTTGGGCGGGCACCATGACTGGTCTTCCAGGACCGGCAAAGAGGGAGGGGGCCTTTGATTTTGGAATGGTGCAGCTGCTATGGAAGAGTATCTGAGTCATTGGGATGGGT